CCCCAAAACCCCAAAACCCCAAAACCCCAAAACCCCAAAACCCCAAAACCCCAGATGGTAAGAAAGTTGCTGAATTAAACTAATTTTAAATTAAAAATGATTGGAAGAGCTTTTGCCAAGAAACAATTTGTCAACTTTACTGCACTTGGAAGAACTACACAGACATGTTCTCTTAATGAAGCCTCTTCCAGAGGCTTCATGACCATGAACAGCAGTGCTCAGAAGTAAGTGGAGTCCAGTTTCGAATTTTTCTGTGTGATCGCTTCTTGATATTTTGGTGCAGGAGCAATATGTTCAGCCAGTGTTGATCATTTTGATTTGATTAATTGCACACACTCTTGGATCGTGCTAGTAGCTTATAAATTATAGGCAAGAGTCAGTCCAGGCTAAAGCAGAACTAGGAAAGTCCTTCATGGGAAGCCAGAGATCCTTCTCTACAAAGATTCCTTCATATTTCAAGGAATATCAGCAAATTTTTGAGAAATCTGGAACTTTGGAGAAGATAGTGCCAAGAAAGATTGAGACTCACCAGGAGTTGGAGAACATGGGATGTGCTATGTACAGACCTATCGATACTGACATCCAGACTGTGAACAAAGGTCTCTTCGATCCTCTCTATGATCTCCTCGACTGTGGAGGTAAGAGATGGAGACCAGTGTACGGAATGATCTTGGCAAGTGATTATGGAGTTGATATTAGGGATTTTAAGACTAATGAATCTCTTTACCACTTACTTGGGCTAGCAGAGATCATCCATAATGCCAGTCTTATCTGTGACGATATTGAGGATAAGAGTTTGATGAGGAGAGGGCAGCCATGTGCTTACATTAAGTATGGTCAGGACGTTGCCATTAATATGGGATGTTACCTTATGACTTATGTGATGACAGATTACTTATTACATTTCAATGGAGAAACTCCTGAACTTAAAGCTAAGATTGGAGCTGAGATTAGCAAGGAAATCAGTTGTCTTCACTTTGGCCAAAACTGGGATATTTGCTGGCATAATAACTATAACTTCCCTAACCAAGATGAGTACTTCCAGATGACTGCTAGTAAAACTGGAGTAATCCCAAGATTGATTGCCACTCTTGTAAGCACTCTGTACGGTTCAGATCCTGAGAAGATTACGAGAATTCAAAGAATGACAGATGATCTTGGAATTGCATTCCAAATCCAAGACGATGTCATCGCCATTGAGAGCGATCTCTATGCTCAGGAGCGTGGAATATTCGGTGAAGATATCCATGAGGGTAAGAGAACTCTTATGGTTATCCACTCTTGTAACAATCTTCCTAAGAAAGATGCAAAGAGATTGGTAGATATCCTTAACCTTCATACTGAAGATGAGGATATTATTAGAGAGGCTATTGATCTGATCAACTCTACCAATAGTATTGAATATGCTAAAGATGTTGCCAGGGGCCTAGTTAACAAGTAAGATTAAATATTAACCAAATAGCTTCCATTCAGAAATGGACGAACTTATTGTCAAGGATGAGACCAAGTCCCAATTGAGAGAATTTGCTGAATTCCTGACTAACAGAGATATTTAAGACCCACCATAAATAACATTCAATTTAATTTTTTGGATATGGGGTTTTGGGGTTTTGGGGTTTTGGGGTTTTGGGG